TTAAATTAAAATGAATAAAAATGGTAGTTAATTCAAGAAACAATCGAGTATTAAAAATGGGGAAAAAATCCTGGGCCAGCCCAACTACAACTGACGGCAATGAGTTATTATGGGCCGATCTGATTGAAAACATACTAATCATAATCCAGTACAAAGTTTAGGCCCATAAATAACCTACTATTCTGAAAATACAAGGCCCCTTCGTCGGTGTGTTCTTTTTCACGCTCTAGGGTTGTTACAGTTCCAGTGCTTTACCCAAAACACTAGCGGCTGCTCGCTGTCGCGATTTCATTTTCCAGCCATGGTAAGTGCCGATCTCGACCAGTTTTCCCCCATTTTCCATCCATGTGTTTCTGAATCTGTGATGAATCTTCATTGTAGGCGGACGTTGAGGCCGATGTAGCCCCAGGGCAGCCAAAGAAGAGAACGTTCAAGAAGTTCAGCTTCAGAGGCGTTGATTTAGACGCTCTTCTGGACATGTCGACTGATGAGCTTGTCAAGCTCTTCCACGCCCGAGCCCGCAGAAGGTAATCTTAAACTCCCTGCCCCAACTGGACTTTGGGTTCGTGTCTGGGGATTTTGTGAATTGGATTGCCTTTGTTTATGATGGTGGTTATTTGACAGGTTTCAGAGAGGGCTGAAGAGGAAGCCTATGGCCTTGATTAAGAAGCTGCGCAAAGCGGTAATTACTCTTCAACATTGTTGAATTGTTGGCTAACAATCAGTTGTGGTCATCACATAGATCTTAATGCCCTGCTATTTCTCGAAATTGAATGTTGAAATTTCCTTTCTTGCTTGTTATTGTTCACCTTCTGTATGTTAATTAGGCTTTAGCATAGGATTGAACTAGTACAACGTTGGCTCGTACAGTCATATTGCAAAATTGAAATTATTGATTATACACATTCATCTCTTCTCTTAAGTGAACTTAAGGTTAATTTGTATAGTTGGCTTGAGATATCGCCTTGCTGCTAGCCTGCAATCCTCATCTAAGCTTTGAAAATCTTGGTTTATGTTTTGATGTGATATATTAACGGACAGCTACTTGAAACATGGTTACGCGTCTTTGCAATGGGTCTCCCATTGGCATTGTTGTTGTGATTTGTGCACGACATCTCTTGTAGAAGAACTGGTACAATAATTGTCTGACATATCTGCATTCATCATTTAATTGATGATGACATCTATATCATGTTTGACATTAGAAACGGGTGCTTGTTTGTTCAAGACTATGTCCCTAATTATATGCAACCTCTCTAATTTTAGAAAAGGGAGGCTCCACCAGGTGAAAAGCCAGAACCGGTTCGCACCCACCTGCGGAACATGATTATTGTACCTGAGATGATTGGGAGCATAATTGGAGTGTACAATGGCAAGACTTTCAACCAGGTTGAAATCAAACCTGAGATGATTGGCCATTACTTGGCCGAGTTCTCAATTTCATACAAGCCTGTTAAGCATGGTAGACCTGGTATTGGTGCCACCCACTCATCAAGGTTCATCCCTCTCAAGTGAAACAGTTCTTTGGAGGCTACTTTTTGGTCTTCAATGATTTTTAAGAGAACCTCAATTTCCATCCAGTTTTGTTTGTTTTGCATGTTATTGGGAATAGCATTTCTGTTATGAATCTGGTTTAAAATATCTGAGTTTATTCTATTGTATTCGAGTAGTTTGTTTCGGATTGTTGAATTTTATTGCTATATATTGGTGATTTACTCAACTCTTTTTGCTGTTGATGGTCCTGGGCATATCTGACAATCGGGGGCTCCGTCACGAATTCTGAGTTTCAGTAACGTTGATCTTAATCGGTCTGAGGGAAACACCAACATTTTATAGATTTGGATAATGAAAATGTCTATTTTGAAGATAGATGTATTACGTGAGATTTACATGTGCATCCCCCTTTAGTGAAGGATCACCTTTTAGGCTCTTGCCAACTTGGATGCTGCAGACTAGTCATTCGCGCGCTTTTACTAGCTTGCGCATTAGTTTTCGTTTAATCAGAGAGGGCTGGATGATGAAGATTCGTTGTTCGAACTATCCTATCTCATCCTCTTTACTCTTTTCCACCAAATCAATCGCTTTAAGTTTGGTAAATGATGGATCTATGTTTGTTTATATTTTTGTATTCGGTATGATTGAGATTCGTATCTCATTAGGTTATTATCTACCTTTTTTCCAAAACAAAAAAAACAAAAATGCGCTATACAGAAACACTTCCTCATGAATATAGAATATTCCAATTGGGATGGATTTAGTTTTTTCAAATGATTAACATATATTTTTTTTATCTATGTCAATTGATGAACAACGCAAAAAAGCCTCTATTCAAAAGAAGTGATATAATCATAAATGAGGTTGACAGCATGCATGAATTGCGTGCTCATCTCCAGTGTTAAACCAACCTTTAAGTATACAAGACGACGTACGAGGAGCGAAATGGTCCTTTCAAGAGTAAGTTTAAGTCGAGATCATTTGAGCATGGGTTTGAACAGTTAGGGGCTTTTCTTTTGTCCTTGCTTATCTAAAAGCCAAGCATCGGTACGAAAGATGAATATGCTCAGCATACGTTTATCATGTACCCGCACACAATTGACAGTAACCGCATATGAACGCAAAATTTGACTTTTGGTATAGTTGGTTAGATAAAGTTTGGAGATTTAATTCGGATATTGCGTTATTCATGCTTGGATTAACTTAAGGATTCCTTGGTTTCATCGACGTCAAGTCTAATGTAGGAGCTCCAAATGGGACAAGAGAAAAGTAACGAGTGCAGTTTCAACGGAATAACAAGCCATTGGCAAATAATAATAATAAGGAATAATAAGGCGATGGTCCTTTTACATACACGTGGTCAGACTCACGACATGAACCAGCTTTGTGGACGCCCAACTGCTCACCAAGTTGTGAGTTGTCAACGCTCCTTCGTTTGACTAGTCCTAGGCCATCGCAAGTTAGTTTTATGTATGTCCAAAACAGTTAGAAGAAGGAAGGCGTCTAGAAGTTTGAAGAATTGTGTACTGATGCCGCCCCCACATGATTTGGCAGCCTAAAAACCAATTGGTTGTGGCAGTTTCATGCCACCACGGGAATACAATATTGGTGACCCAGTGTCCGGAATATCTTTCAGTATTTGACCTAACATGTGCGGTGGACTTGTGAATTCTTAGTCTTCCACATGGTGCTATCTCAATCTAATTCGGAAATTTTTAAGCAAAAGCGGGCTATCATATGAGTACACCGTAAATAATAAACAATACTTGGTCAGCTTCCATTCGGCTATTTCCTGCTTCCCTCTCCTTTTAGGTGTTGCGTTTTCATTTGAATGGACAAGCTTTTTTCCCCCTCACATGTCAAGATTAAATATTTGCATCGAAATTTAAAAAAATTCTTAGGAACAATTTTTAACCCAGTTTTAATTAATTAATGAAACTAGTATTGAAGACCGTCTTTTGCGATATTAATTTGGTAAATTCTTTACTTTTAATTTCAATGTCGAGTATTTTTTTCAACATGAGAAGGGGCTCTGAAAGCGAGTTAAAAAACTGGAAATAATCGTGAAAATTGGTGATTTTTCATTGTCAGCAGCATTAAATGGTGATATTAATCATCAACACGACGGGTTTTCTAATTCCCCTCCCCGTGTTGGATCCTATTTCACTGTCAATCCCAAATTTTCATTATTTCGTGAAAACTTGGCAGAAAATGAGGATTATGATAGCATTTTGATTTGGTTGCGAGAAAGACATTCGTATAACAGAGAATATGTCCTAAAAGGCTTGTTTAGTCTAAAACATGCTCCCTCCAATTTAAAGTATAAGTAGTATTTTTTTTAATTACATACCAATAAAATCCTCATTTCCATAAAAAAATATAGATTAGTTTTTCATTTTTACCCTTAGTCCCAATTATCAGATAATTGATAATTGAGAAATACATTTACACAAATATCTAAAATAATAAATAAAATGCATACAATAGGAATTTTTTTTTTTACGTATATTAGATTGCTTATATTTTAAATCAAGATTGGTTGAGAGAAAATGTTTATATTTTGGACCAAAGGAAGTATGTAATTGAGTAACTTTTATAATTGATTTTTAATTATACCCTCACTTCATTTATTACTTTTTTTAAAAAATGATACATAAAAGTATTAATTGTGGTTTTCAATGTACTTATATAGGATAAAGGCATAATTAAAAAGACATAAAAAAAATTTAAATTTCAACTAACGTTTTTTGAAAATCATAAATTAATTTCCAATACCCTATATTATAATTCAGAAGGAGCAAACGCATTCATTAAAGAAATATAATTATACCCGTCGTATTCATCTAACTTGAATCGCACACGCTCCAAATCTCTACCATAAAATGAAAATATAGGCTATCAATCATAGTTGTTGACATTTGGTACCATTTGATATCAAGAAGAAAAATTATTATTTAGATTTATAAATAATCAACAATTTAAGAAATTATTAACTCAATTATTAATTTTGTAAAAATTTATACAAGGCACCTCTCATCATTTTTAAGTTATAAGGTTTAAATTTTACCTCCGAACTTTGATCAATGAATTAAAGTCTTTAATTACAGTAATCAATATCAATATATTCATAATACAATTAACTTTGTTTGACCAAAAAAATATCAATATATTCATATAAATTGTATAAAAACATATTCATCACAAACCATTAATAGGGTACTAATAATCAGAAATCACACACCGTTAAAAGGAGGACTCTTAATTCCGTTTCGGGAAAATCCGTGAACATGATCTAGTTTTATCTTCAACACTTCAAATCAATTTCATCTCTGACAAAGACACATCAAGTGGAAAAATGAACCCCCAAAAAAAAAAAAATCAGAATTTTATATTTATCGCGCCAAACCAAAATATATATATATATATATATATCATGAAAAAAATCGTGGACTCTTTTCCCTCGCAAATTTTTTGTTCTGCTATAAATACGTGTTCTCGAGCGCAAACCATTTCATTCCTAGCTTCGACCTGCATAGCTGCCAAAGCGATCGTTAGATCTCTAGCTCAGCCCACCGATCGATGGACTGCATGACCACCGCCGTCACAGTCACCGCCACAGTCATCGGCGGCAGAGAAAACAAGAATCAGAGCAGGAGGGAAGGATCAGAGGCGCATAGGGGCGTTGCAATTCACAACCAAGTGATGAAAATAAAACAAGAAATTGAGAAACTCAAGCACCCTTCGCTCCAGCACGTAGAGATCAGACATATCTCCCTTCGAAATTTCACACGCCAACGCTCTCGATCTCCTCTTGGATTGTCGCATCGGGCTATCCCTGTCGGTAGCGCTTAGCAGACATGTACGAAGCTTGTCTGCGCGTTTGTATCTATACATGCTATCTATACTTTTGAGAGATATATCCTAGTTTGTGTTAGTTTCCTTTCCTTTTGCTTTCAAGTTAGAATATGGAAACCCATTTCCTTCTCCTTCTCTTAAATTTTCAGTTTCTGGTTTTGTTTCTGTGCTTTTGGGGTTTCTTTGTACATGCCTTTGGCAGCGAATCTTGCTACGCAGTTTCATTTCCCTCCCCCCGGCGGTTACTCATATCGCCGCCGAGCATGGCTTCGGAATTTTAAGGTTCGGAGTCTTCTTTTCTCTTTACTAACTTCAAATTCGAAATTGAAAGAAACCGCGTTTATGGAACAGGATAAATCAAATAAATCTCGTATTACAAACTCGTGTTTTCAAAATGTTTCATGTGCACGTGTTTTTCTGCAGGATCCCTTCTTCAATCTGTTAAGCTTTGCTCTGGAAAAATTTAAGGAACTTTCTTTTGTTCTTAATTGTTCATTACAATTTTATTTGGCAGAGACTGTTTGATTTTTTTTTTTCTTGGTTTCCTGTTATCACAAGCTAAGAAATCAATCGAGATTCCTAAAATTTTGGGAATAATTACAGGGGTGCATTTGAGAACCGATAAATCAAAACATCCAGGCCAGATAGCTTTCAGACCAAAAAGAGAAAAGCTGTTCAATTTTTCTATTTTAAGACATCCCTTCGGAGATAAACCTGCGACTGAGTCTTGACTCTTTGGACACCAAGTTTCTTGCTTTTTTTTTTTTTTTTTGAAGTTCAGCTCGCTCCATCATTTGAGAAATTTGCTATTTGCTGATAGGTGAAATCAACAATACGAAAGTTGGCCAAACAAATCATATATATATATATATATATATTAACACCAAGCTATGATAAAATCAGTTAATATCTAATTATGTTTAAAATCAAGAGATTTCTATAATTGATGGGTGGGTTTTTGAAAATTATAATATCAATTTTATCACGTGATGTTAAGTGAGCCAAGAGATTAGTATATTTATTTGGTTATTTATAAATATTATCAAAAGTGATCGTTTAATCTTTTATTGGATGATCTTTATTTTTTTAATAATCTCAAATAATGGATGGCTTTTTGAACAAGGACGATTAATAAATGACAAGGTTTTCATTGAATTTGAATAGACATTAACTTTGGATTATTTTGCATTCCAACAAAGATTTTAAATCCTTCAAAGATTCTCATTGGCTCAGATGTTGTATTAGGGAGGTAGCTTAGATATTTGAAAAAAAAAATTAATTCATTTTTTTTGCCATTTCTGATGATGTCTCCACATGTGCAAGAATCATTAATGTTAGTTGAACTATTGATATCGATTTAACCCATCCAAATTTAGGTGGCTTCCATTTAATGTCATATATATCTAATGTCTCTTTTTGTTCAAGTAGTTGATTTTGGATAAAAGCTTTAAGTTATTGATTATTTGTTGAGTGTTGGGAAAGGTAATATCATTGTTTAGGACCTCATTTTTAGAGTATTTTTTCTTGCATCTAGCTTTTTAAATGTTCCAACAAGCTTGGGCGAAAAATCTATACCAGAGTATTCTTGTTTTTCAAGCAACTTGCTTCATTGTTTACATTTTAAATTATCCAATCTTATACACCAAAAGAGAAAAGAGTATTAAGTTTTGTTGGATTAACTAATTTTTTTTAAATCTCTTGAGCTTTCTCACTATTTCATAAAATAAGGATAGAAGAGTTAGTGAAATTACAATCAAGAGGGCAGGTATGCATTTCTAATAGCATGCGTGTGATTAGTTTGGAGTCGATTCCAAGCAACCTTTCAATGACAATGTTTATTTATTTTATATGTGGGCCACTTTTAAATCTTAAACCATATATCAGAGTAGATTTAATCCTTATGTATTTTCATAGCTTTGTAAGCAAATTTAATGAAAAAGTTCTCATAGAATGAAAATCTTTAAAAAAAAATATCATCCTCATCTTGTTGATTGGAAGGTTGCACAAGCATAATCTATTTAATCATGTTAAAATGAAGGTAATGACTTAAAAAATTAAAATTCTATCCTCATGTGAGACTGCAAAAGAAAGAGATCTTAGCATGTAGAACAAACAAATTATATTCAAAACACAGAAATGGATCAATTTCTGCGATGAAGTCATGAAGATGGAATAGATTAATTTAATACGGAACGTCACGGAAATAGCAGGTTCTTTTTTTTTTTTTTGGCCAAACGGGAATATCAGGTTTATTAGCCGCTTGTCAGAAGAGAAAAGCACTACAATTCCCATATTTATCTTGTTTGAGTGATGGAGCATATTAACCGAACACCAATTTTTGGGCGGGAGGCCGAGGGGGCCGGGGAGTGTGAGCAAGCATGGATTAAATATGATTTACCTATTCTTAAAATGATAATTGTACTATTTTGTAATATTACAAAAATAATTTTCCAATAAGGTAAATGATGCAGAAATAATTGGATAATAATTAAATAGTCCTTCCTATCATTATTACAAGGTATGTTTTTGATTTTTTTTTAATTTCAAAATATAAAGTGTTATGTAAAAGTTTGAATTTGATCATTTTGAATGTGATTGTTTTTAATATAACAATACTTATAAGTAATAAAAAAAATTAGATCGCTTCATTTTTTTTTGTGGAAAAATTTAATAATGTAATAGTATTTTTTAAAATACATGGAAAAATTTTAGAAACGTCTTGTAATCATAAGAGTTCGAAGAATGTGTTTGTAAACTAAGTCCGGCAAGGGAAGAAGAAAACTAAAACAACGTGAGTTAAGAAGCAAGGAGCGAGGTGATTGGTTAATTTAATTTCTTTGAAATTGGGTTTGGTAAATTTAGATGAAATTTTTTAAAATATTTTTATTCATTTTATTATTTTTTAAAATATAAAATTTTCTTTTTTTAAGAAAAAAATTCGCCTAAATTTACGGGGATTTAAATCCATATTATTAATATATTATTATACTAAGCATATATTGAATGCCTTGGTTCAATGAAGATTGACGAATCGTTTCCATGTTCAAAACCCGGAAGGAAAACGTGATCCTTTCATAAAGATGTACCAGACAACACAATACGTGACCAGCAATTAACGTCCGTTCATCCGAATTCCTTTTTGGAACAGGGCATGATTTTGTTTCTGGAGCCTAGCCCTTACCCCATAGTAGCATCCCAATCCCATAGTAGTTGAGAGATTTTCCTTTTTCTTAGTTCATTCAGTCTCCTTGGGTATCCTGGCCTTTAGTTATCAGCTCTGGCCCAAAAAAGAAGACGACTGATGACCCAGTGACATATCAATATAAGCAAAACGCATTGTTACTCGTCCTTTCATCTCACTTTCTCTTGGATCGTTTCCCAAAAAGCTATCCCAATTCCTTTCCTCCATCTGTGATGTAATTCTTGCTTTTTGGAAACAGAGAAGCTCCACAGCCTGCAATCTCACCGACACACGCATCTGTTGACCATTAAGAATGGGTGATCACTTATCACAGCTTATTCGATGCTACCTTTCTCTTACATGTTCTCCCTGTAAAGAAGTGTGAAGATTCAAAATCGTCCATGGCTGCTCACTTTCACCCGCGTAATGCTATCCAATTCTTCAAGATTATTCTCCAATACTCTCTCGAAGAAGGAAAGCTTGTAAGTATTTTTGCCTGTGCCTCGTACCCTTCCTTCTTGTTAGGACTCGGATTTTTTAAGCAATTAATACCAGAGACCACCGACTTATGTTGATCTTTGTTTGAAATGATTACTAATTCCCGTCTTCTTGCTGGGAATACTGTATAAAACCATGTAACAAGTTGCTGAGCTAACAACAAATTCTTCTCAGAAGGTACCAGACAAATTTGTACGGAGATATGGAGGTGGAATGCCAAATCCAGTGTTTCTGAAGCCTCCAGATGGAACTCAATGGGAAATACGCTGGACAAAATATAAAAGTGGAGAAGTTTGGTTTGAGAAGGGTTGGGATGATGTTGTTAGATACTACTCTCTAGGTCATGGCCATTTGGTGTTGTTCAAATATGTGGGAACTAGAACTTGTCATTTTGAGGTCAACATTTTTGACAAGAGTGCCCTAGAAATGGACTACTCTCTTCATGGAAACCTCCAACAAGTTACTGATAATTCTGACTCGGTTGAAATCTTGTGTCAGAAACCTCCTCTGCAAAAAGTAGCGAGCCGAAAACTGCCATTATCATCTTCTGTTCACCCTTGCAAGAAAATTAGAGCTGAAGAAGCTCAAAGGACCTATAATCAGCAAAAGATGCACTCAGGTGATGGGAATGAGCTCAAGTCCATTAATGCAGAACCGAAACTTATAAAGCTTGAGTTAGAAGGTAGCTCCTGCTTTTTTCTTATATATCATGTCATTATATCGTACTTCAATCTGATATTCTATTCATCTATCAGGCTCTCTACTAAACACAAAATTTGGAGGAACTTTGACGGGCTTTTCTTGATAGGAAGTAGCAACTATACTTCAGTTTTGTTCTTAATCTTGTCCTTCGATTTGTGTTTTTAGTTTCTGCAGAAACTATGGGTGGAAGCAATTTTTCCACTAAAAAAGGTCCAAAATCCATTGCTATCAAAAAACGAAGGGAGAAACCATTAACTTGTGCTGAGAAGGACAGGGCTTTACAAAGAGTCAACACTTTCACGTCTAAAAATCCCTACTTCAAAATTGTCATGCAGCCAGCATACATCAAGAGCTGTTTGGTAAGCTTTTAGAGAAATGCTAATGGGGGGAAAAAAACTTCTGTTGTTAGTAGTTACTAATCTAGTACGAAAAAATTGCAGTGTGTGCCAGCAAAGTTTGTGAAACAGTGTTTGAAGAAGAAGAAGGAAGGAACTGTCCTCCTCCGGGTTTCAGATGGTAGAACTTGGCGTGTGGAGTGCAGTGGGGAAGAAAGAAAGCAGTACAAGTTCCGACTCAGAAGTGGGTGGTCCTCTTTTTCAAAAGACAATAACTTGAAAGTGGGTGATGTGTGTGTTTTTGAACTCACAAACACCACTGACATCTCCTTCCTGGTTCATGTTTTTGGAGATTTTGTTAATCCATATGGCTGAAAATTCCAAGGTATAACATTGTTTTCCCCCTTTATGGTCTTAAATCCACTGCCCCGAAATTGGGAGACATGTTTATGTTGAGAGAATATAGTAATACTGATAGATATACTGTGTTAGGAATTCACAAACTATGAGATCCTGTTCTTCTGATTCTGGGTTATAAATATGCAACATGATGCAGATTGTCCCATATTACTTCTCAAGTGGCATGTTAAGAAGGGGGAGGAGTTTATGGCCTGTCAAGTTGCTTTTGTTGTGACCAGGTCACATTTACGAGGTGGAAAGTATCGTGCTTATCTTTATGTTCATTGATAGAGAAATTGCTTTTTGTGTATATCTATGTCACATTCCCAGATGCTGCACATAGGTTATTCACTGTAAGCTGCTGCTTTTTGTGATTCTGTGAAAGAGGCAAAACGCCAAACGTTTGTTTTAATAGTTTAGTCAGAACAAGTATCTCAGCCCAATACTAAACTTGACATTAGGATTCAGTTTGATACTCTAAATTAAAAAAAATCAAAACTTCTCTTCTTACATCAATGAACTTAATGAAAATGCTCACGTGATCTTTTTTTTTTGGTTGCCTTGTGCAAACAGGGGAATTGCCAATTGACATAATGCAAATTAAGTTTTTTTTTTTTTTTTTTGGGTTGCCCGTTTCCTTGGCGAACTGCAACTTTTTGTCTGATGAGTCATTTTGCCAAAATTTATGCCTCAGCTGGGGATGATATTGTCATTCCATTCTAGAAAATTTCTTCTGGTTTGGAAATAATTCTTTTATCAGTATCGCTAAGGATTCTTGAAAATGGGGTTTCGACATTGGTTGGTCGATGAATGAAAAGGTTAAAATATTTTTTTTTAATACTTAAAATCTCCCTTTCAATATCTTTCCATTTTTGACACTAATGATCTACAATGGATATCCATTTATTATTTACTATATATATATATATATATATTACCGAATTGAGTTGGTGAAAATCAAGATATTTTCGCAATGACGAGATCCCAACGTCTAGGGAGATGGAACTTGGAAGTGTTTATCTTATTTTATAAATGATTTACATCATAAAAAATATAATATGCTTTTATAAATAACTGTACTAAGAATTAAAGTTGCATGGTTTATCATTATATTAACTGCATGCAATTTTTGTATAAGTATGTAAAAGTATTTCTATATAATTTAAAAATTAAAATGAATATTCAAGATATTTTAATTCTACGGGTATTGCTATCATTTAATATATTTGTTATTTTTTTTAACTTTTTTGAAAAAAAAAAAACATAGGCCCCTGATTAAAAGGAGAACCACCTCAAATAGTTTGCTTGTATGGTTCGTTTGGGTAGTTGAAATTTATTTATTTTGAACTATAAATGTTTTTTTGATAAAAAAATAGAAATGTTTTAAATAAATCACACGATATTGATCTATAAATAATACGATTTTTTATATATTTTATGTTATCAGATATTGTGTTTCTAAATTCTAATACACTTGGTTAGGGTTAATGGTAGTATGAAGTGACATTAATTTGGCAAGAGTTTTATTGTTATTTTTTTCGCTAGCCTGGTATGTCTCTAGTTTTAAATTTTATTTTTTTTGACATTGCTATTTGACCGAACCAATTCGAACATTATTGGATTCAACTGAAATAGCTTTTTCAACTGTATATTTTTTTACATTTACACAGGCTAGAACTTGAGGTCTTGTGTTTAAGTAATCATAAACTTTATCATTAGGACTAATCTTTGTTGGCATTTTAAATTTTTAATACAACTATCTAAAAAAAAATAGTGGCTATTGAAGCCTTGAAAAGTGAATAATCAATCATCAATACATATATCGTAAAGCACACTTTTCAAAACATGGGAGATCATTTAATGAACATTTTGTCCAAAAACATAGAGATGTGAGGTGAATGTAAGACCTGTAATTTAATTAATAACATTTGTTTATATAGAATGAAAAATTTTTACTACGTAAATTTTCATTTGTAAACGTCAAAAATTAGATAAGATATAAAAAAGAATAGGATTTTTTTTTATTTTTAAATATCATGTGGGATCCATAGTAAAAATTAGTGGTGAATAATAAAATAATATATATTAGATGTACAATAAAATTACAAATTTTATTGAGACGGAGTAGAGAAAGTAGGTAGGTAATCTGATGAGTTTTACTTCAAAATTTAATTTACTTAAAATAAAAAATTATAAATAAAATAATGCGTTGCTTTTAATTTTATATGTATAAGATATAAATGTAGAATAAAATATAAAACTAAGCGACAAAGTAATTTTATATGTACAGGATAATAAAATGTAGAATAATATCCTTTAATTTTAATTTTAATTTTAAAAGAATATATCTTTTAAATGTTTTGATTGTAACTAGAATGATTTTTAAATAGCACTTATCCCTTCTTGTGCTATCTATATTGTCATCTTATTTATAGATCATATCACTAAATTTTTATTATAAATTTTTTCTCTTATTCTCTATTGAATGTTGATGAGAGAAAATATGTTGTTAAAGTACATATATTTAATAATGATAAAATTAAAAATTATATTAAATTTTTAAATAAGGTTAATGATTTTTAAATTTTTTCTTGGTTTCACCAAATATGTTAAACATAATTTATAAATAAAACCAAATAAGTACACTTAAGAAGGGACTAAAATGAAATTTTTTACAAAGTTAAAAAATTAAAAAAACACTTTAGCCATTTTTAAAATAGAAATAAGATATATAAAATTAATATAAAATAGAAAATATGGAAATATATTTTCTCCAAATTATTATATCTGTGATAAAATAATATCAATTTTTTTTAAAATACTAAAACATTCTCTTGCATAACAGGGGCAATAATTTTGTTAGCAAAAGTTAAAAAACATAGACGTGAAAGCCATGATTTAAAAAAAAAAAAATACATGGAACCTATGAGTGTGAAACTCATAATTTAATTAATAAATTTTATTCACATAGAGTGACAAATTTTTGGTATATGAATTCTCATTTATAAATATTAAAAATTTCGATAAGGTATAAAACATAATAATATTCTTATATACTGAAAGTTTAGGAGGATTCACAGTAAAAATTAATAGTGGTTATAAAATTTCAATTAAAAATAGTAGATATTACATATGCAATAGGATTATAATTTTTATCAAAGTAATTTACTGAAAATAAAACAATATAAATAAAACTAATTTAATCAAAATAATGAATTCTAAATGAAATAATTTTTTTGCATTTAATGTAATATGTATAAAATTATAAATTATAATCCCTCCGTTTAAAAATGTAAGATATTTTTTGAAAAATTTTAAATGTTAAAAAATGTAAAACATAATTTATATTTTTTAATTTAAAAATTTAAAAAATAATTTAAAAAAATATAAATGACTAAATTATTAAAATTAAATCTGAGGAACCGAATTTCATCATATTATTTTAATAAATTTTATCATTTGAAGTAATTAATTTGCTGAGTAATTAATTTTTCACTGGAATCAAATCAAATTATTCCTAAAATGAATTATAACCCTGATAAAACCCATTCTCGTGAAGAGCGGATACAGTTCTCTTCGTACGAACCCGCATTCCGCGCTCAACCGTTGTCAGCCCTGCGTGTTTGTTCTCGGGCAAGCAGTGAAGAAGGTTCGAACCTAGGGTTTTTCCTACTCCCAAATTCCGATGAGATTGATTTGATCAATCTGGCTTTGAATTTATATTTGAATTTGTTCCCCACGTTATCTGTTCCCTGCGTGGCTGTACCTGCTTTGCTTTAAATTTTTCATTTTAATTTGCCTTTGAATCTGGTCGTGTAATCGTTGAATATTGAAGCTTTTGAATTTGGGAATATTTCCATATTGAGTTTATTTTGTCTTTGCTTGAATGGTGTGTAATTGACTATTATACTTCTTCCCTCTTCGTTTTGATTACTAGCGACTTATATGATTTGGATTGCGTTTTTTGCAATTTGGATTGTTGTGTATTGGCATTCTGTTTATTAATCTTTTTTATATTATCATAACAATTTTGGAAAATTCTCAAGGTATCTGTGATGTATGATCTTGTAAATGACTTGGCTCGAGCTGTGTCAAGGTATCTGGAACAACAACTGAATGGGTATTATATCAACTATGCTTATTTCAAAAATTTCAGTGGGGTTGTCGTGTAGTATAGGTCCGCCTATTGGTTGTTTTTTTTCTTTTGGGACCCGAAAAGGGGGATAATTGCATTGAAATAACATGATAAATGTAACAGTACGGAGCCACCCCTTGGGCCTCGACTCGGTACTGGACTCTGGCCCATCACTGGACCAAAGCCGACTTTCCCACAGGTGGTACTGTGGTTATTCCTCACCACTGCCTCTCCAGGGTCTTTTGGAACCTCCCCAGACTCGAACCTCCAACCTCTACTACCTTAATGAAGTTGAGGCGAAGTCTGGTACCATTGGGTCAAGTTGACTCAATGGTACCAGACTTAGCCTCAACTTCGTTAAGGTGGTAGAGGTTGGAGGTTCGAGTCTGGGGAGGTTCCAAAAGACCCCCGTGAGGGTGGGGTGAGGAATAACCACTGTACCACCAGTGGGAAAGCCGGCAATCATGTGGTGACATGTGTGTTGTCCAGCGCCTGGGAAAAGACCCTGGAGAGGCAGTGGTGACCCAGGAGGGCTGTTACATAAAAGGCGCCTTTTATGTAACAGTACGGAGCCACCCCTTGGGCCTCGACTCGGTACTGGACTCTGGCCCATCACTGGACCAAAGCCGACTTTCCCACAGGTGGTACTGTGGTTATTCCTCACCACTGCCTCTCCAGGGTCTTTTGGAACCTCCCCAGACTCGAACCTCCAACCTCTACCACCTTAATGAAGTTGAGGCGAAGTCTGGTACCATTGAGTCATAGGTGAGGAATAACCACAGTACCACCTGTGGGAAAGTCGGCTTTGGTCCAGTGATGGGCCAGAGTCCAGTACCGAGTCGAGGCCCAAGGGGTGGCTCCGTACTGTTACAATAAACAATAGAGCTTAGGCCATATGCCAAGGGCAAAGGCATCAGTGCAAAAGATAATAGTAAAAGTAATCAACCAATCCCCTCTCGGTCCTGTTCATATGCATAATGCTGTGAGAAAGTCTGAAAAGAGCTTGAATGAAGGTTAAAAACCCAGCCCGAAGGTTCTACACCCTTTGTTGAAGACACAGCGAGATAGTCCTCATCTTCTAACCAGAGAAAGATGTAAAAAAGGATAGCACTCAACGCTCTTAATCAGATCAGCTATCATTCCGTGATATAACCAGTTACAATTGACACAACTCTTGAATGACAGTGCTTTATAAAAGTCCTGGCAGTCAATTTCAATTACATTGTGCCTATGGTAATCAGATTGCATTAAGGAAACAGCCTTTTGACAAGCTATAATCTTAGCCATTAGACCAGAATTATCCGTGACTCTTTCACACCAGCCTTTAATGAAGATGCCTGGGTGATTTCTCCATATTATTCCTATACCAGCATTA